TGATATGATCTCAGTCAATGCCTGGTAGGTTGAAATCGCCAACCACCAGAAGTTTACTTTTATTGAATTGTGAAATGTGGTTACTAATTTTTAATAAGTAATCATGGGCTGAGTCAGGTGGCCTGTAAATGGCATAAATGTTTGGTTTCCACAAGCTTTTTTTCAAGACACTGCATGTTTTTTTTTACTGTCAACTTTTTGCAGCTTGGATTCAATGGCGTTTAGCCTTTCTTGCATAGGTTTCTGACCATCAAGTAATTGTTTGAGAAGTTCCGTGTCACTAGGTCTCGGATTGAGCTCTACATCCCCGCACAACATTAACAAAGATAGTACAAGATCCCATGTGTACATAAAAAAAGCAGTTAGACAGCTTGGGTACATCAGTTGTTTAAAACAATTGCTTGTTTTAGCTGGGGAGTTAACAACACCAACTTGTACAAAGAACAGGAATTGGTTTGTCATTACGTCATTGCAATGCCAGCCTATGTGCCCACTGTGCGGATGTTCTGGTAGCAGTTCTTTTATAGCCACAGTCGATGCAGTCGAGGCGCCATCATGCGGTGTAGAAGAATTCAGCACGTGCGGTTCTTGGTCATAGGTAAACTGCTAATTATTTATTTATTTATTTATTTATTTATTTATGAACACTGCAACCCTAACATAGGGTTTTGGCAGGGTGGATATACATTTGATAAGTTTACAAATCGGCAAAGAAATAAATATAAAACAGGTAAGGCATTTACACACTTTCATAACGAAAAAGAAAAAAAAAGAACAGTGGTTTGTAATAAACCGGCATAAGAACATATAGAGAAATGAGCGCTAAATTCAAGATGATCACAAGTGGAGAATGGTTACAGTGATTGAAATAAACAACAAGAGCACATGTCATAGAAATTAGACACTCGCTGCTAGAGCTGCGTAGCAAAAAGGTTCAAGGATGACTGGGAAACAACTTCGTTACTAAGGTTATTCTATTCGGTAATTGTCCTAGGGAAGAACGAATACTTGAATGTGTTATTATGGGTGGAAAATGAAGTTATTGTAAAGGCATGCCTCTGCCTTGTGGTATATCCTGTGGACAAATGAAGTATATGTGATAAGTCTAACTTAAAATAACCTTTAACTAACTGAAAGAAAAATTTCAATCTTAATACTTTATTTCGTTGTGTAGGTGTTGGGAGGTTAGCTTTTGCTAATAAACATGTTATTGAAGTACGACCAAAACTGTTATAAATAAACCTAACAGCTTTCTTTTGAATTTTTTCCATTTCGCTGATATTTTTTCTGGTGTAAGGGTACCAAATTATGGATGCATAATCTAAAGTAGGTTGAACAATTGCATTAAATGCAACAAGGCGAACGGCGGGAGTGGAGTGCTTAAGAGCTCGTCTAAGATAAAATAATTTGTAATTGCACAAGCTTATTACAGTGTTAATATGTCTAGTCCAGTTAAGGTCATTCGAAATCCAAAGACCAAGGTACTTGTAGTGTTGTACCTCCTGCAAAAAAACATTATTGGCTGAATATGCAAAATGAAGAGTGTTACGTTTGTGAGAAATTTTCATGAAAACGGTCTTTTTAAAATTAACTGACATCTGCCATTTATCGCACCAACGAATGACCTTTTGAAATGCATCGTTTAAATGAATTTGATCAGCATGGTTTTCTATTTCCGAGTACAGGATGCAATCATCCGCATATAACTTAATTTTTACAGGTATATCATGTGATATATCATTTATAAACAATAAAAAAGAGGAGGGGTCCGAGCACAGAGCCTTGGGGAACATCTGAGTCAACCGGTACTGTACGAGAACAATGGTCATTGAAAAAGACGTACTGTTTTCGATTCGAAAGATAACCGGAAATCTAATTTAGAAGCTGAGTATTCTTAAGAATTAAATCCAATTTGAAGAGTAATTTATTGTGAGAGACCGTATCGAAAGCTTTAGCAAAATCCATAAAAATTGCATCTACCTGTTTTCCGGAATTTATAGATACTGCGAAATCATGAACTGTAGTTACCAGCTGAGTACAAGTAGAAAATTCTTTCCTGAATCCGTGTTGTGAACGTGACAAAATATTGTGCTTATCTAGGAATTCTGAAATATGCTTATGTATTATATGCTCAAGTAGTTTACAGGAAGTTAAAATTAATGAGATCGGCCGATAGTTAATAACAGAATGAGGATTTCCACTCTTATGTAGGGGCTTGACTTTAGCAGTTACCCAGTCATCCGGAACTTGACCATCTTTCAGAGATTTAGAAAAAAGAATTGTTAGGTACTTTGAAACCCATTGTGCATAGCGTTTTAAGAACTCATTCGGTACTCCATCAGGACCTGAAGATTTTTTAACATCAAGCTTTAAAAGTAAATTAAAAACTCCCTCTTCACTTATGACAATATCCGATAGGGGTGGGCCTGCCATATCAAATGTTTCCAGGACTCCATTATCCTTCGTAAAAACTGACTTAAAATGATCATTGAAAGCATTAGAAATAACAGAGGAATCACTAGTTTCCACACCGTCAATTTCAAAAACATCAGTAGTCACAGGATTGGGCGAAATTAAACTCCAGAACCTCTCGGGAGACGAAGACATGAGACTCGGGAGTTGTTGGCCATAATAGCGTTCCTTGTCAGACAATACATTTGCTTTTAGTTGAGAAGCCAGTTCAGAAATTCTTTGTTGGAGGATACCTACGTCTTTAGAGTACCGTCTCTGATTTTTTATACATTTGAGCCGTCTTCGCAACTGCAACGTTTCCCGAGAAATCCAGGGGTTCTTTCCTTTCGATTTTTTTACAATGCGTGGAACAAATCTTTCAATACACACATTTATAAGGTCCTTGAAACGCTTCTACAAATAATGGATATCAGCAGTGCAACTCGAAAAAGAATCAAATTCAAATGATAGTAAGTCCAATATTGAAGTATCATCTGCACGAGAAAAGTTAGGGAACGAGACCCTCTTGCAATATTTCTTTAAAACAACATCAGAAAGCGTAAGTATCACAGCCTGATGATCAGATATTCCAGGGAGAACAGAGCAGCTAGCTTGAGTAGAGATTGAGCCACTAATGAAAAAGAGATCTAGAATTGAACAAGAGTCTGTCTGTATTCGTGTGAATTCATCAACGACTTGCATCATGTCAAAAGAAAACGCTATATCGATAATTCTTTCACCAATTTTATAGTTAGGCTGTTGCAAAGAGAAAGATGGCCAGTTAACATGCGGCAAATAAAAATCTCCAGCTAGAATTATCCGATCCTCAGGCTTCACATGCGCGACAAGGTAATTGTGTAATTCATCCAGAACATCCATGGAGGAATTGGGTGGATGATAAATAGCCCCAATAACATACCTGGTCTTTCCGTTAATACGCTTTGCAAAATATGCCCTCGACATTACGTATGTCACGCATTTTTGTAATTTGCAATGACTGTCTAAACAGGATCGCTACCCCACCGCCTCTACTCCCACGGTCATTCCGGTACACACGGTAGCCCCGAGGAACAAATTCACTATCAAGTATATTATCGTGCAACCATGTTTCGGTTAGGATAGCAATATGGGGACTATAAGCCAGGAGGGTTCCTTCTAATTCTGTGGTTTTGCTAGTAACACTTCTACAGTTTGAATTTAGTATTTTCAGCGACTGAAGACTGCACATGCTCCGTCATTTTCCATTCTTCCTTACGGGAGCGTGATGGCATTTATCCTCATCTGTGCAGTCGATGTGCTGGCCGCCGTAGACAGCAGAGGCAGGAATACCTGTAAAAAGAACAGGAATAAGTTTGTCATGACGCTGTTCTGCTGCCAGCCGACTTATGCAACAAGAACTGATATATCAAGCATATAGCCCATTTGGCTGTTTTTTCCCCAGCTAGACATGCAGGCTATTGTGGTGTAATGTGTTTTTATCTCATTCCGATTATCTAATGCTTATTTGGCAACAGTTATATGAGACTGTGGTTACTTCTAAAATGTGGTGCTCAGCTTTTCCGGTTTGATTTTATTTCTGCCACAAATACTAGTATTTTAAATTATAGCTCATTTCACAGCAGATTTTCGACAACCCGCCATTGTTTCTTGAAATTTACATGGCTAGTTGTTTGTGAAGTATACTTCATAATGAATATTAATATTTACAAGATGCTTCAACAATGCTCTTAACTCCACTTAATGTATGACAAATTTAGTATCTGCTCCCAAAACACCGATAGCTGCTCCAAACTAGCATTTTTCGTGCTCCGAAAGCACTTATGGCTGCTCCAAAACAGTACTTTTTCTGCTCCAAAGTACACTACAAAAAGTAAAAAGTCACTTCCATCACTGCGTAGTAGATATTTGAACGCCTCACAAAAGTGAAAGTAGCCCTGGAAACAATTCCTAAGAAAATGGCCCTTGCTCTGACTCTTCCATAACTTCACCTACGGTGCACATAGTGGCACACTGAGTCACATTGTAGTGAACCAGAGAGGTGAGATTCACAGAAATGTAATCAGGGCGTGCGATTTTGTTGTCACCAACAGTTGAAGGCGTGAAAGAACTGCGTGCATGCAGCATGCCTGCGTGACCACTGTGACAACTCCCACGAAACGCAAAAGCGACGTAAGATATTTATCCTCTGATTAACGATGATGATAAGCTCATGCCAACTTGGTGGGGGGTCCCACGGTTGTGATGTTACAGCAGAGTTTCCAATACATTATATTCCATAAAAGCTACGCTGGCATCAAAAGAAAATGACTTAACAGCCAGAAAAATGCAGCTCAGTGAAACATAACAGCACGGTTTTACTGTAAAGAGTGGTCGCAAGCATTGACATGGTATGCTTGTGGTTACTGCATGATTAGAAGTCCTTCCTCCTGAATAGTCTCACTGAAATAGCAACCTACTAGCCAGACCCTTGTGATGAGATGCAAGCCACCACACATTGGTCTATGTCCATTCATTTAAAGCTTTGATTGTTATTTCTGCATCTGCTGCAGTTCCAGTATGGAGAAGACGGCCTGGATGTGCTGAAGATGCAGATGCTAAAGCCGAGCCAGTTTCCCGTGCTCATCAAAAACAGCCGAGCAGTCATAAACATGAACGACATTGTGCAGTGCGAACGGGCCACTGACCACGACGAACTGCACAGGTTAAAAAGAGCGGTAAGCATTGCTCTCTGCGTCGCTTTGCCTGCACCAAGTGCCAAGGTGTGTGCATACCTGGCTTGGCCTACATCACACTACACAGGAACAAGATAAAGGAAATGGGAATGCTGTGGAATAATGGCATTAGTGTTGCTTCTTTTCTGCCTTGCCTGTGCATTGTCGTAGTGGTGCAAAAATGAAATAGCGTATTTTTCGGCTTGGTGGCATGCACGTATCTTATTCTACATTTCTGCTGTTGCTTCGTATGCGCAAAAAGTAATGCTTATTGCACGACCTATATGTCTATATTTTATTGTCTAGGTGCGATAAGCTGTGTGTGCCAGCATTGGTAAGATAAAATTTAATCTTGTTAAAATAGTGGAATGACTGTGGCCTCAGATTGGCTACTTTCTGTCCATTCAATAAGACTGTCATTGTCACAACAACAATTTGCTGTTAGTGCAATTGTTTGCCTATCGCAGTGGCCCCAGTAGCTACTGAGCGCACCATGCTCTAATCAGCCAATGGCCATTACAAGTGATTTTTGAGCTTGTAGTGTCGTTTGCCGAGGGAAGAGAGCGATTTTCAGCTTTGAAAATTTATTGTGAATTGCAGGCCACATGCTGTGCTATAATATTTGTGTCGCGGTAGCCTGGACTATAGATCGGCAGTATTTTCTGACCGGGTTCAGTAAGTGCTGCAGCGCCCCTTTAAATTTGAAGGGGGGCTTTTGCGGCACAGGGAATTTGCTTTAAATATGTGCTTTGACTGTTCAGCACTCTTACACTGCAGTGAAACCATCTTTACAGGCAGTTACATGCAAATTAATATACACTTTTGTTCATTGCGAATACTTTCAAATTTTCAATAATTTAAATTCAAATTGAAGCAAATTTGAATATTCGACTATTAGTTTGAATATTCAAAACATTTGAATATTTGCACAAGCTTAGCGCTTTTATGTTCCTGAGACACTCTTGCACGCTCCCAACAGCTGAAATACTCAACAAATTTTAATATAAATTTTAATTAGCAAAAAACTGCAATACCCAAACCGGAACTCAGGCGAGTGCGCGTCTACATATGACAAAAAACTGTGCCAGAACCTTCCTGGTCGTGCATGATGCTGCCAAATGGTGCTACTTTTAAAACACTGTGGGGTCTCGAAATGGCGAGCGCCACGCCACACTCTTGGAATGAACGGACACAGCAGACACAATCAGTACAAACCAAACAATACGCACATTTATTTAACTAATTTAAAACGACGATATTGTCTGCCAAATCGATACATCACTCGAAATTAACAACCAAGGACAATTCTCGTGTGCTCAGATTTGGGTGCACGTTAAAGAACCCCAGGTGGTCGAAATTTCCGGAGCCCTCCACTACGGCGTCTCTCATAATCATATGGTGGTTTTGGGACGTTAAACCCCACATATCAATCAATCAACCAAGGACAATTGTACACAATAGGACCATACACTCTATGACAAACACACTAACACAACAAACACACAATAACTTGACAAACACAATAACACACCCAAGGCGGCGGTGCCAACGCTTGACTTACCACGAGGGCCCCCGGCGCACAGGCCCGCGGGGCCACGCGCCGAGGGCCCATGCTAGAGACAACCTTTCGCGGCAACCGCCACGTGCAGAAGAGACTCGCTCAACTCTCGCCCGCCACCAAGGCTTGCTTTTCGCCAAGGGTCTCTGCCAGCACTACCACTATAACAACCATATGATGATAGTGGTGCTCAACGCGAACACAACGCCATCTATCGCCTGGTAGTTGTAACCTGAAATGCGGCTTTTGGGTGAGACATGTGCACTACGCAGCGCAAACCACTTTACAGGGGGTGTCAGCATCTTCACATCTACTCAATCTTAATTCAAACCATATTCCGAAAACAAAGAAGTCAGCTACACAAGCTCTAACAAAAAAAATTACAACACATATCCTTTCATAATGTCCGTGCTCCACGACACCACCGCCGGTCGACACTGCTGCACTGTCCGGCTCGACTTCACCTCAGTACCGGTCCCGCAACAGCAACTTTGCCGTCGGCGCGACGATCTGTCACTAGTGCCGACACGTCTGCCGGTTGCGACCAGCACTCACGAGGGCGCCGGACTGCAGGCAGTTGCGCAGGTCCCAGGCGTCTTCATCGCCCGACCTCCTGACCGCATTCCTGGCCAGCGGCGCTGACGATGTGCAGAGGACAGCCAGCACTCCCGCTGAATACATTAAAAAAAAAAAAAACACTACAGAAACCACAGAGCAGGGCCAAGGAAAGGGAGCATCGGAATTTTCATCTGCGTGGTACGGTGGTCAGTACTGCTAGCTAACTAACACATCGGCGGCGGCCGAGATGTCCATCAAAAATAAAACAAAAATCACTTTTCCTAATTCGTGCATCGCAAAATTAAAAAGAAAAGTGAGGGAAGCAGGGTGCTACGGGCGGCTGCACAGAGCCTTAGGCTTAGTGAGTCGCTCGGCAACAACCGGCATCCACCCAGCACCCAGCCTAGGCGCAAAAGAGGCAGCCGCAAGGAGACATCCACTCTGTGGGGCGGCCCTATCGCTCACCGCACACAGCAGCTTACCGAGCGATGGACGTCCATTGCCCCGGACGGTGTTATGACGCCCCGGCGTTGAGCTGCAATACCAGACAGCAAAGACGCCCGGCTCCTTGAGCCCAAAGAGATAGAATAAGCTATTTACAGAAAATCCGACCACCCACGAGACTTTCGCACTCACTCTCTTCGGGCCTGGCCTACAACCACGCGCTCTAAGCCTTGCTCACCACAGGATGCGGACTGCATGGCTATCGTCCTAATTCAACGTTTTGAAAACCAATGGCAAAAAAACAAACAAACTTGCGAGCAGGAAAAAAGATAAAAACTCAACCTGCCGATCCGTTCAGACACATCACAAATCCAATCTCCTTGCTTCTCAACAAAGCACACTGCCGACGCTAGCAATGAGAAGTCTCCCGTAGGCTTACTCTTCCCTGGCTCAAACAAAAGCTTGCACCGAACAGCAAAAAACTGTCGTCCGATATTCCAAGAGCCCCACGTTGGGCGCCAGTGTAGGGTTCCGAAATGGCGAGCACCACGCCACGCTCTTGGAGTGAACGGACACAGCAGACACGGTCGGTACAAACCGAAGAACCATACACGCTTATTTAACTAATCTATAACGACGATATCATCCTCTGAATTAATACATTAGTCGTTATCAATATGCTAGGACATTCGTACGCAATATTACCATACACTTCATAACAAACACAATAACACGACAAACACACAATAACATGACAAACACAATAACACGACAAACACAATAACACACCCAAGGCGGCGGCGCCAACGCTTGACTTACCACGTGGGCCCCCACCGGTGCGGGCCGCGCCGAGGACTCACGCTAGAGGCAACCGTCCGCGGCAACCGCCATGCGCAGAAGAGACTCGCTCAATTCTCGCCCACCACCAAGGCTTGCTTTCCACTAGGGCGCTACCACTGTAACAACAATGATGATGATTGTGGTGTTCAACGCGAACACAAAGCCATCTATTGCCCGGCAGTTGCAACCCAAAAAGCCGCTTTTGGGCGGGACACATGCGCCATGCAGCGCAAACAACTTTACAGGAGGTGTCAGCACCCCCCCACAACATTCACGCTATTATGATGAATATATGGTGAATCGTGTATGGCCACAGCACAACACCATTCGCTACCTATTGCCCATTCACCAACACGAAAAAGGAAATCGCTTGCTCAGCCAAGAAAGCGCGGGCAGAACCCATACAATTCATAGCAGACAAGCAGACGCTGCAGTGGCACATCAGTTCTGTCACTTTCGTTTTGCAAAAATCAACGTCACACACAAAATTGCCATTAATTCTGGCAAGCGAGGGGACGATTTAGAAGCAAGCTATGAAATTCATTTGAAAGATATCTGCAAAACTCTCAAGCTTGAAATTTTTGGCATGATTGGTGCAAACGTGTTTGTGAACGAACTGAGTGAATTTTATTGAGATCCATTGACATTGAAAATTTGCAGAGTTGGCCTTTAAAGTAAGAGGCATATCGTATTCCAGGTGCGCAAGTGGAGAAAGAAAACGGACAAAGATGTTGAAAGTGAATCACGCAGGCAGAGTGCCTTCACCCTTTTCTCTAGAACAAAAGGGTTGCTAGTGCGTGATGAGCACTTGAAGTTCTTCCACCAAGCAACTTCTGAGACAGCTCGCCAGGCTATATTGGAGGCCTACTTCAACCTCGATGAACGGACACATCACAAGTAAGGCTTTGTGTCTACTTGTAAAAAATTAGTTTTCAATTGAACAACCATACAAAATTGAATGCAGCCATACAGTTTCACACCTCTAGACAGTAGTGCAGGTTTGTCTCAAAAGTTTGTGCATTCACAACAATGACAACGAAAATGGTGATACCTTCTCCCCCTTTTTATGACCCACATAAATGATTGTGCAGCCACAAACGGACTGTGTCATCATAGCAAAAGAAAAGCTATGCGCTCAGGCTGTCTCTCTTCTTTCTTCCGCATTTTTGCACAGTTCTCTTAAAAATGACTTCTCTAAGAAAAATATACTCACAGCATGGTGCTAAAATGCTCACTGAGCCATCGAATTGTTTTTTCCATTCACATTTCTTGAGTATATAATTTTCTGCAGTTAATGATGCTAACGAGCAAAACAAAAATAATTTGCAAGCTGCCTTACACAAATGTGTGGAAGCCTTACCTACATAGCCTTCTGTTACGTTGGCGGCAGACATGCCGCCAGAGACATGAACTAGTCGGTGTCACCAGGCAGAAGACAACGTTTATTGACCGCTTGAAACTTATATCACGAAAGAGGGGAAAGGGGGCAGAGAGGGAACAAAGAGAGAGAGAAGACGCATGCACATGCTGTTCTGCATCCACTTTGGCAACCGCTGGCGTTACAACACTTCTTCCACCTTAGTAACTATAACGTTCCACCGTTTTTTTTCTTCTCGTGGACCATCGTATTGGCTGTGATACTGCAGACGCGTTCTTGGCGTCTTCAGTCGTCACTTCGCTGTCAGGTAGCGCTGATTCTCGAGTGTCCTTGCTCTCCAAGAACATTTCCTTATCGCACTTTCGTACTTGGTCCATATGGCGACGGACAATCCCTGCCTCAGTCTCCACTTCCAAAAGCCGAGCACCGGTCGTGGCCTTGACCCTTGCCGGCGTCCATTTGTTGCCCATTCCGTAATTTCGCACATAGACGAATTGACCTGATGCGAAATTCCAGTCAGTGTCTTCCGTCGGCTTGGCTGAGACGCTGCGTTGGTTCTTTGGCGGAAAAGATAAGTCCAGCCTTGTGCGCAACCGGTAGCCCAAAAGTATTTCCGAAGGTGAAAGGCCGGATTGTTGAGGGGTATTTCTACAGTTGCAAAGTACTCGGGCCAGGGAGGTCGTCAACTCGGCAATTCCAATCTTCTTTAATGTGTCCTTCACAGTCCGCACAGCACCCTCAGCCAGCCCATTGCTCTGTGGATGGTGTGAAGATGTGCTAATGTGAACAATGCCATTGTGCTCCATGAATTGACGAAATTCGAAACCTGTGAATGGTGCTCCATTATCTGACACCATCGTACCTGGTATCCCAAACAGGGCAAAGATTGTTTTCAGGGCCTCGATGGTACTGCGGGAATCGGCATGTGCTACTGGCACAGCCTCAATCCATTTATTATATGAATCAACCACAGTCTACACCATCTTGCCATCCAGTGGTCCCGCATAGTCAATATGAAGCCGCGACCACCTTTCGCCCGTCTCAGTCCAGTTTACAGGAGTTTGCGCAAATGGTATAGGCAGTGCTTGAACGCAGTTGTTACAGTTGGCGGCTACGCGTTGTATGTCTTGGTCCCACCTAGGCCACCAAAATATCGATCTTGCTCTAGCCGTCATTGAAGACACTCCCTGATGGGAGTCATGCAGTAGCGTGAGAAACTTCTTTCAAGTGGCCGTAGGTATCACCACGCGATGACCCCAGTACAGCAGGTCGTTTTCCACCGACAGCTCATATCGCTTCATATAATATTCTGAGAGTTCGTCATCTCCTTTCACACTCCGTGGCCAACCACTGCGGGTGTATTTGCATACTTGAGAAATGACGTGATCTGTCGCCGTTAATACTTGCAATTCTTTCGTTGGCATAGCAGCGATGTCCTGCTGACTTAGGGACAAAATGACTGGCGTGATGTCCTCCAGTTTCGATGCATTCTGTGAGGCTATAGGTAAACGGCTTAGTGCGTCGTCGTTGTACAAAGTATGCTGCAAATGGTACCTATAGGCGCCTAGCGTGATGGCCCATCTCTGTATCCGAGCTGCTGCTGCCATGGTAGGAGTTGGCTTGTCCGCCCTCAAGAGACCCAGCAAAGGTTGAGGATCGGTCAATAGAGTAAACTCTCTTCCAAGTAGATAGTCGCGAAGCCGTGTGACACCATAGACCAAAGCCAGTGCCTCTCGCTCAATCTGGGAATAATTCTTCTCGGCCGAGGTCAATGTTCGTGACTGAAAACCGATTGGTCTATACTGCCCATCCACTCGATGAAAAAAAGCAGCTCCTACACCATACGGAGAAGCATCACATTTTAGGAACAGCTGTTTTGACGGATCAAAAATGAGTCAGTATCGGAGCAGCACACAATGCTTCTTTAGCTTTATCAAAAGCATGCTTTTCTGTGGCCCCCCATGACCATCGGGTTGTTTTTTCCAAAAGTACAGTAGTGCCAGTAGAGTTGACAGGTTCGGTGAGAACTTGTTGTAAAAAATTAGCATTTCCAAAAATGATCGCAGCTCTGTAACATTCCGAGGGGCGGAAGCATGTGTGATGGCCTCCGCGTTCTTTTCTGTTGGGTGCAACCCTGCGTCGTTGATTTGTTGACCTAGATAAACCACCGAGGCCTCGTTTATCCAGCACTTGTCGGCGAAAAGTTTAATGCCGTGTTCTCTGAATCGTTCCAAAACCTGTCGAAGCTTTACATAAGGCTTGTCTGCAGTCTCCGCAATCAAAACATCGTCCAAGTACCCTTGCACCCTGAGTATTCCTTGTAGTATAGACTCGATCGTTGTCTGGAATCTTGCCGGTGCTGAAGCGATTCCGAAGGGCAACCGGTTGTAGCAAAACAACCCTTTATGTGTGTTTATGACAGCCAGCTTTCGGGATTTTTCGTCCAATGCAATCTGATTGTAAGCGTCTCGCAGATCTAAAGTACTGAATTTTTCTCCGCCTCACAAATTCGCGAAGATGTCATCAATGACTAGCAAAGGGTATCGCTCCATTTCACACCCAGGGTTTAATGTTACCTTGAAATCTCCACAAATGCGCACAGCGCCGTTGCTCTTCAATACTGGTATTATTGGTCTTGCCTAATCAGCAAATAATACCGGAGATATTTTGCCAGCTTCTACTAGTCTATCTCTCTCAGCAGATATCTTATCTAGCAGCGCAAAAGGAACCTTTCTAGCCTTGCAAAATTTTGGAACTGCCGTGTCCTTGATGTAAAGTTTAGCTGGTGGGCTCTTGACTAACCCAAGACCTTCTGTGAATACGTCTGCATATTCGGCCATTATGGCACCAGTTCCTGCTGCCTTATGTTGGCTTTCCACACCGGGTGGTGTAGTGATGTGCAGAACCGGTGTTCCTTCTGCTGCAAGCTTCTCCAATAAGTCTCGTCCACACAGGCTGGGACCTTCACAATCTAACACGGTAAGGTTACAGTCAACCTCCGCCGACATATAATTTGCCTTCATTGCCAATATGCCTAATACAGGTAGTTTGCCCTAATAACAAGACAGCTTTAAATAGGTATTCTGCAGCTGGGGCTAACGATTGCGATGTGCCTCATACGTTTCTTTACGAACTATGCAGACAGGAGAACCTGTGTCCACGTCCATCTTTATAGTGACACCATTCCATGTGATAAACTTCCTTATGGGCGGAACCAGGAGCTCAGTACCAGTGACGGACCAGATTTGCAATGCCCTAGAGTCACTGTCATCACTATGGTCTGTATTTTTTGCAGTTAGAGCTGGCGTTTTTCTGGTGCCGCCCGTCCTTGTACACATGCGAGCCAGGTGCCCTTGCCTACCACAACTGTAGCATCGACGGCTCTTTTGAAAGCATGAAGCAGCTTTGTGAACATACTTGCCACAGCATTTGCATTGCCGCGGCGCATTTCTTTGCTCCTTCATTATGGTATCAGACGTGCGCCGTTTACAAACGTTCAAAACCGTCGAAGTAACAGTGTGTTCATCTATCTGCTGCGAACCATATTCTGCACTTTCTGCTGGCAAAGAAAGGGCTTCTGCTTCTTCAAGAGTCAAGTCGCTTGTTTCTAGCAACTGTTTTTGCAAACTTTTCGAGCGAACACCACATACGATTTTGTCTCTCAGCATTCGGTCTAACATGAACGAAAAATTGCAGTTCTGGGCATTCTTACTAATTTTCAACAATGAACGCTTTCACGGACTCCCCTTCCTGTTGCTTACGGTGAAAAAAACTTGAAGCTCTCCGAGATCTCATTAGGCATTAAGGCATAAAAGTCATTCAGCGTTGCTACTACTTCCCTGTAGCTGAGACCGTTTGGCAGACGTGGCGCCACTCCTCCGCATAGGACTTCTATCGTCTTTGACCCTAATGCAGCGACCAGCAGTGCCCTCTTCTTAGCTTCATCAGTAACTTCATTGGCATCAAAATACGCTTCAACTTTTACAAGATAAGCATTCCACTTATCTGTTTCCTGGTAGCACTCCGGGAGCCTATGTGCCATGGTTGTCACTTGATTTCACGCTGAGTCAGCATTGCAGAGCTCCTGTCGTATAGTCGACGCTGAAGGGCCAATGACGCTGGGCTAGCATCGGCATAAGCGTTTTCGGTGGGTCACATAAACTCGTCGCCACTGTTACGTTGGCGGCAGAGACGCCCCCGGAGACATGAACTAGTCGGTGTCACTAGGCAGAAGACAGCGTTTATTGACCGCTTGAAACTTATATCATGAAAGAGGGGAAAAGGGGAGGAGAGGGAACAAAAATAGAGAGAAGACGCACGCACGTGCTGTTCTGCGTCCACTTGGGCAACCGCTGGCGTTGCAACACCTTCGTTGCAGTGTCAGGATGAGTGGTCGCCAAGTGCACGCGGTGGAATATCAACTCCAGTGACATTGTTTGAATGACCACTACAGGTGACTTCATGTCTAAATGTTATTTTTAACATTCAGGTCTTGTGTTGTCCACACTGCGTAAGATTTCTACAAACTTTCTATGCAAATCTATAGACAGAGCTGAATGTTGCGAACAATTCGTTCCAGACTCAACAAATTCATTGTGAAGCGTGCAGACCCAGTCTGTTCGAAGCTGCGGAGTGACGTCCATCTCGGAGCTGTGTCTGAACGGCTGGACACATTAATTGAAGACTACATTGAGAGAAATCCTCATGGCCTGCTCTTGGCTGATAAATCGCAAAAAGGGAAAGACATGGAAAAGAACACTGTCACCGCGGATGAGTTCCGGAAACTGGTTTACATGCGTAACATGAAAGCCATCTGTGACCCGGGGGAACCAGTGGGTCTGCTAGCTGCTCAGGTGAGTCTGATGCTGAGACATTGAAGAGAAAGAGGTAACTAAATGCAAACAATTGTGCCCACAAAAAGCAAGCAAGCTTTCATGTGTATAGAAATGGGCCCAGCCAGTTTTGCGTTGCATGGTGGGCATTGTTTATCAAATTTCAATGAGCTGTGGCTCATCATTCATATGCCAAACTGGCCTGTGCATTTATGCTCGTCTTATAGAGCATATCTTGTCTATTAAGCATGATGTGCGCTCACACTTGCTGTTCTATTGTGCATCACTTTCTGTCTGATGGGAAAAAGCAGAAAAAAACCTTACCTTGTGAAGTATCACTTGAGGTATACCACGCACAGAAGGGGAATGGATGCATCAGTGGGCCTTTGATCTTTTTGTACAAGAGTGAATGCCCATGTTTAGGTGGTGCGGTGTCATAGGTATTTTGATTGTTCCTTGTGCCTATATTGAAATACAGTAGACTCTCAGTAAGTGGAAATCTGTAAAGCAGAACTGCTGCCTAAATGGAACAAGTGCTTTTTATCAGATTGGTTTCATATTTGTATTCTACACCCCTGGTCATCTCTCAGTAAATGGAACTCCTGTTAAATGGAACACACTTTCCTTGTCCCTTCAGGTTCTGTTTAATAAGAGTCTATAGATGTTGCTAAGAAAATGCATATGTGGAACCCTGCTTATAAGAGATGTCTTATTTAAAAGACAAGAATCGCTCCACTGTGCATGTACCTTATAAAGGGGTTCAACTGTAGTTTGTTTGTGCTATGCTTTTTGGTTGTTCACATATTTGAAAATATGTATATTTAGGTGATCTGTGAAAAATAAGCTAGACGAAATTCTGGAAACCTGTCATGTCCTCTTTTTGTTTTTTTCCTCGTTCTCAGTTGTGCCAAAAAAGTTTTCGTGAAACTTTGCACCAACTTGGCCATCATTACACTCTGCTATGGCACAAATCCTCCTGCCACGTCTGGGAGATTGTTGCATAAAGCCGCACCAAAGTTGAATTTCAACTGGGCAAACTCGATCTTTAGGGATTAGAGATGCAATTAGAGATGCCGAATAGCAATTAGAGGTGCCGAAGAAGCGGGATCGCTCAAATAAGTCGGAGAACATGGAAAGGACGCTTAGCTGGTTGGTGTCCTTCTGAAAGAGACCAGGCGTCCAAACATGGATTTTAATAGTAGCTGCATTTGAAAGGGAGATATGCTATAGTATCAACAATGTTTTCTAGCTAAATTCTTATGGGCATTTTGAACAACTTCTCTTTGTCAAACACAACAACCAGTTATGCTGCAAGATTACCAGAAAGCTAGCCTAGCGAAGAGTGCTATTTATTTTCTTATAATGTTGTTTACCAAATTATAATTTTTTGTTAACGTTATTTATTTATTTATTCAAAATACTTTACAGACCCAACAGGGCATTGTGTAAGGGTAGCATAAAAGGAATACATACACAAATTGGTACAATTTCCATACAAACAATAACATGAACTAATTGTCAATTATTACACATGTCCTAACAGGAATAACAATGAGAAAATATTAATAGTAATCTTAATAGGAATAGAATGGCAATGAAAATTAGATGAGTATACGCGTGAGATAATGACGTAAAACAAGCTATATGAAAACAAGCACAAATTCTGAAAAGACTTTCCAGTATTCAAAGGAAAACATCACTGAATACTACACAACAGAACTGAATGACATGTTAGTATTTAAACCATCAAAAAAAAATAAGTTTAAGGTAGGAGAAAGAAAAGCGAGATACTAGTAGTGAATAAACGCGTAGGTGCCGATTTCGATATGAATAAAATGAGCAGTTAATCCTGGAAATGGGTGAGTAGAAGGTGCCGGAATTTTTCCCGATTGCTTTCAGCTACGATTTCATCTGGAATGCTGTTCCACATGCGGATGACACGGGGGAGTGCAGATGAGTTAAAATGTATGTTTTACCGTATATGCATGTGAATGAAAGATAATTATACAGTCTCTTTGATGTGAATGCAGATGTTTGCAATGTCATTGATAATGGCCTTGTTTCATGTACGTATTTATAAAATAATGAAAGGAGGTTTAGATCACGTCGGCTGCTCAAAAGGAAAAGCGATAAGTTTTTTTTAATTTGTGTTATGCTTGCGCTATGATAGTAGTTTTGTGAGATGAATCTAGCGGCTCTATTCTGAATCGATTCCAGCATGTTAGGTAAATAGCTGTAATGAGGGGACCAAACTGCAAAAGCGAATTCTAGCTGAGGGTGAACAAATGTTACGTAAGCTGAAGCACGTATATTTGTGGGCGTCTTACGTAGATTGTGGCGTATGTAGCCTATCGTGAGGCGTCACTGCAGATATTGGTGATGTGGGTAGTCCAAGAAAGGTTAGATGTGAAGGTTACACCTAAATATTTAAAAGAGTCAACACTAGATACGGGATTGCCATTAATAAAGTAAGAAAACTCAAGAGTTAGAGTGTTTGCGAGAGGACATTACTTTACATTTACTTGAATGAAGGGACATTAGCCAACTATTACACCAATCGCTGATGAGGTCGAGGTCATTTTGAATTATTACGTGATCACAAGTACTAGTTATTTCACAGTAAATTATACAATCGTCAGCAAAAATGTGCACTTGTGAGGATAAATTACTTGGTAAGTCATTAATATAAATAAGAAAAAGCAGTGAACCAAGAACACTCCCTTGCGGCATACCAGAACAAACGTATGAAAGTGGAGATGAAAAATCATTAACATTGGTGAATTGCTGCCGGTTAGTAAGAAAGTTCCGTATCCATGACAGAGTTGATGAATCTATACACAAAGAAGAGAGTATAGAGATTAAGCGGCAGTGAGCAACACGATCGAAAGCTTTGGAAAAAATCCAGAAAAAGACAGTCAATTTGCAAGTTTAGTGTAGAAAGCAAATGTTTTTCACTCATATTTGCGTCTATTTCAAGTTTGATGAAAATAGATAAATTAGCATCATCAGCTGAGCCAGCTCCCTGGCAGTCTTGTTTTTATGTTTTATTAATATATGTTTCCAAAAAGCACCTTGAGAAATGCCCTCTGAGAAGTTGCATATCTATTGTTTTAATAAAATTCTGTGTGACAATTTGGAATATGTAAAAAGAATTGAATAAGGGGTATTAAATTTTGTTAAGCTAACGCAACTTATAAAAAAAAAATTTAAAGATTGATGTGTCTTCTTATCTCTGGGCATGCCCACGCGATGGGTAAACTCATCAGTCTACCAAGCCTCAGTCTAAAAGTTGACTGTCATGGTAGTTGATTTCTTCTGTATGCATGTTAGTTCATGGTTAACTCACGCATGTGCTACCGTTATCATTCGACATATTGCACACACAATGTCATAAAACAGAAAAAAAAGTTACCATTTGAATAGAGATTCTACAGTTCAGCTTCTGACCTTTTTTAGTGCAATTTTAGACTGAAAAACTTGGGGGGGGGGGGGGTGATGGTTTTTGATGTCAAGCATTCATTAAATTGAGTGTAGAGCGAGTGGTTCGCATTGTTGTACGGCCCTGAACAGCAGCTATGGTTTTGTGGGTAGCAGCAGAATGGCCAGGGTAGCTTCATTTATACCGATAACCGCAGTGCATTGGACACGTGTTCTTTTGGTTGCCCGTGCGACTGCTGTAAAGAGGACTCGTGCCCCATCCATTCACACGGGGCAATTGGAGTGCCCTTTAAGTGAGTGTACTTATGCTCACAAAGTGTCATTTTGGAGGTTCACTGCTTCACGAGAAAGTGAAGTGTACATTGAAAATGATGGCAGTGGCAGTTGACAGGTTTGTAGAGGGTCATATATTTGTTATTTTTGTGCCCGTGTGTCATCGTCGGACCGCGTTGTCTTCGTGGAAGTAGCACCAGTGGCACACGTCATCGTAAATGACTAGGGGACAGCTCACCACACATGTGCAAGCGTGCCTGGTAGTAAACAACACAATGAACACAGCCATTTGTGCTGCCGCATCTTCCTAGTGAACCATGTCCGCTAGGCTGCCCAAGGGTGGGAGTAGTGAGTTTTTTGTGGTATTGTGACTTGCTTAAATACATAGAAGTATTGCTTATAACAAAAACAATGGTTTAAAGATAGTATGAATACCACTTTAGGCAACAGCGTGTTTCTCTGCACGCCACTGGTATCGAGGCTACACACTTCGTCTCAGCGAAGTGAGGTTGGGGAACACACTTGTTTGCAAGTGTACTTTGCATCGACTGACTCTCAACTTTCTCGTGTGACAGCGCACAAATGACAGTCGCGGCAAAGTGTACTTGCTTAAAGTGCACCTAAGTTGCCACGTGGGACGGGGGTTTAGCTCCTGTGGCACCAAGCTTGTTAGCATGATACTGACTTGTTACAAATTGATTTTCATACCTTTCTGAAATGATTTTCTTGATTTTTTCCTCATGCTTTTTTATTTTTTCGAAAATTTTTGCAGCACCTTTGTTTGAGTTACACTACATTGGTGACTGTACTTGGTCTGAATGGCTGAACTTTGGTAGAGTGATCAATTACTGTTTTTTTTTTTTCACTTAGTTAAGTCTAGGTTTAGGGATTGCCCCAGGCATCCATGGCAAGCTTCCTGGTCAACTCCTGGTTCATTTTTTTCGTTTTTGAATGCAAAGTTACCACTTTGTAATGTGTTAAGTTGGATCTTCTGACTTATTTTAGACCACTGCTTGCCCATCGTACTTACCAGGAAGCTTGAATGTGGATTGTCTGTGGCAGTAACTCACCGAAGGTGTTTTGTTTGCAGACATCATTGCAGTGCAACAGTCTTGCTACCACACAGGTCACAGAAAATGCTTCCACATCATTGGGTCCGACTTAAAATTTATATCAGTGTAATTAAATAAAAATAATACACTCACATAGCTGGCATTTTCTTGGTGGCCTAATATTTGAAGCCTAACTTGCCCACTTGATGTCGTTTGTGTAATGCTCGATGCTGTGTTATGGGCTGTGTCTTATAAATGTTGTTTTGGCCCTTATAAATGCATTACTAAGCCTTAATAATTATTTTTAGGCATAAATTGTGATTGACTGTCTGAAAATGTTTCAAATTCTTAAATCACTGTTTTTAGGAACCTAATATAATTTTTCAAGAAAGAGAGGGAGGGTTATGTTGACGTGTGGAAGTTTTGGTAGTAAGTAATCCTAGTTAACTTGTAACTGAATGTTCATATTGCTCATGTTTCAATTTTCCATAAATATAATCAAATAAAATCTTGAAATGCATGTGCCATTTGATTAGAAGCACATTCAAGTTAAACAAAGATGGAATTACATTGAATGAAGCACACTGAGACTAAATCAGGATGGAGTTAGTATTTTGTACCAGGTTAAAATAATCCTACACACTCTCGCTTGTTTACTAGTCAGAGGAGGCGGCAAATGCATTTAGTGTCCTCATGTGTGACACTCTTGAAGACACACAGATTGTTTTATCTAATATATATTTTGAATGTTGCTTGTGCAGAGCATTGGTGAGCCGTCGACACAGATGACGCTGAACACATTTCACTTTGCGGGTCGAGGTGAGATGAACGTGACTCTGGGAATCCCGCGGATGAGGGAGATCCTCATGGTAGCCAGTGCTAACATTGCCACGCCTACCATGGACCTACATTTGCTACAGCAGCCAAACATTGAGCAGTGCGCTGAGGAGCTTCGGGTCAAAATCACCTCCGTCAACCTCTCACAGGTACCCCTTTCAGGAAGCTGTGGAGTTTGGCGCAGCTTCTGCTTTATTTATTTATTTAGTCATCATACCTACAGAGCCCAATAAGGCATTGAATAAGGGGGGCAAGTACAAAGTAAATAGAGAAGAATACATTAATAAATACAAGGAAAGAAATAAAAAGAAAAAAGTGTACAGTGAATGAAGTTAGAGAAAAAATGATACACTGCAAAAAAAACAAGAACTAAAGAAGAAACAAAAACATTGTACGTATATATAATATATAGAGTGCTAAGCATGTTCGGACAAAGCAATAGCATTTATTATTTCACGGAAAAAATGACACACATGGCACATGCTAGAAAAAAAAAGTGCAGGACGACTTTGCAGAAAAAAAAAATGGTGACGACATGATGCTACTTCAGAAAATGTTTATGCAACCGATCAAGAAATGCTTGACAGCTACTAATTGATGCAATTTCATCGGGAAGATCATTTTAAAAAACAATGGCTCCGGGAAGTGCTGATGAATTGAAAGCGTTGGTTCATCAATTTGATGTTTAATGCTACATTGATTATGTAAGCGGTGTGATATGCGTGTGGGCGCTTTCAATAGAAAGGGAGATGGCCTGATGCTGTAGTGATATTTATGGAACAATGATAAAAGAGCAATGGAACAATGTACATTTAATGCCACAAGTGCTATGTCATGTTTCATCTGCGTTATGCTGGAGTGGGGGCTGTAGTTGGAGGTGATGAAACAAGGGGCTCTGTTTTGTACAGACTCAAGCTTGTTAGTTAGTTAGATTTGATGAGGAGACCACAATGATGAAGCGTATTCTAACTGTGGACGAAGAATGGTTTCATAGGGGAGTTGTCTTACATTGCTTGGTGAGTTCTGCAAGGTCTGGCGCAAGTATTCAAGGGACCTGAAAGCCTTGGCAGTAATTGAGTTGATATGCAGGTGTTGTACACCACCTATGTGGTGTGCACCACCTGCATTAACCTGTTGATTCTATTTAAACTCAAAGAAAGCCACTAAAATGTAAAAAAAAAAAAAATTGAGAGGCAGAAATGGAGACAGGGTACACAGAAGTGGCTACTGCAAGTGATATTTAGTTCGAAAAAAGGCCTCCTCGTTTTTTGAAATATACATCACTTGTTAGTAGTCACCTCTGTGTTCACATTCTCTGCCTCTCAGTTTTCTTCCTTTTTTGACATCTTACTGGCTCTTCGAGTTTACCTGTGTGCCAACTTGGCCAACAAGCAACACTCCTGAGCTGTTGATTCATGTTTGTGTGGGAGACCTATAGACCTCCTCCATGTTTGTAAACAGTGGCTAGTGCCGCCAACATATTCAGGTCATCCGTGTGGTCGCGAGGCACAGCTCACCGCCACATTACCCTCTGTGACAACTGGTGCAGTAACTGCGATGCTGCCTTTGCGCACCGCATGTCCGAGTGCCTCCTGCATGTTTTTATGGGCTCACTGAGCAGCAGCGACAGAGTAAGTTTTAGTGGCCCTTAGAAGGACTCCGAAATTAACATATAAAATTTACATTGATGTTCAACTATACCTCAGAGCTTCATCAAAAACATTGGGTATCTTAACGTTATGAAAAACATTAGGTATCTTAACGTTATGAATGTCACTAATTCGTGAAATGTAAGTAACACTGCTGCAGTCATTTTAGTTAGTTAACTAATACATTTTAATTTGCTAGCTAAAATCTATTTAGCCAAATGTATAAACTGTATTTAGTTAACATGTAGTTTGTTAATGTACATTTTAGTTGTTTGTTAACTAATACAAGAATGACTACCTCAGTCCAGAGAAGTGTTCTTAGGTGCGAAAATGCACAAAGTAAAATAATGAAGTCCATGGTCGTTATGAGAAATTCTCGCACATAAACTAATGTGCCAGGTTAGTTACTCGTGCAAATATGAAGGGTGATCATAGTGATACTTCTTCCAGCAATACGGCAACAATAATCTTTGAACAATCACAACAAGCTGTGGTCAATGCTGCTACATACCTGCCAACTTTTCCGAATAGTTGGAGAAACTCCCGAATTTTCACCTTATCTTCCAGTTGTATGAATGATACCTCAATCTCACAAAAAGAGGCTGGCACAGCCGAGGCGTTTTCTTTTTTTTTTTTCGCGCATAGATCTGCTTTTCTTGCTGTGACAGTTGCGATGCTGCAAAAGAGCACACGCTGTTCCACCTCTTGTTTATTGTCACCATATTGCAGTATATTCTAGACACTATAGTACTGCACATGTGGGCGAAGGCCAGCAGCCACGAGACAGGCTCTGTATCGAAAGAAGGAGGGCAAAAAGATACCACAACTTTTGCGTCTGTCTCTCTTGGCTCCCGCATTTTGTACGCTAGGCCGACACTGCTTGCCTAGATGTCAGATGTATTTGTTACATGGTTGTGGGAGATGCGTGTTTCCCCGAGTTTAGTTAGAAGGTCAATGGCAGTGTCAAAAGAAAGAAGTACAGTAAAAACCGCTTATGCCGTAAGTTGCTAGAGTTGCGAAGATTTGAATTATAAGTAGTATCACACTACAATTAAAGCTGCCATCTTCAAGGGTCGCAGTTGTGCAAAACATGTTGAGCATGTAGCCTCGCGTGTCTGAAGCATGCAATGCATAATGCTTACAACCATTGAAATTTCTGAATGTTAAAAAATAAATAAATAAATAAATAGCGATCAAAAATTCCGTTGTCAAAGAAATGAATGCAAAATGGGGGTTGTTTCACGAAAGAAAGCAACATTGCAGAGATTTTCTAACTATTGGTCAGGTGTTGAGCATGTAGCCTCGCATTTCTGAAGCATGCAATGTATGGTGCTTACAACCATCGAAATTTCTTAATGTTGAAGAATGAATAAATAAATAAATAGCGATCGAAAAATCCCATTGTCAAAGAAATGAATGCAAAATGGGGGGGTGTCTCACAAGAGAAAGCAACATTGCAGAAATTTTCTGACCATTTGTCAGACCGTCTCAATTATGCGCACTACAATATCACATCTGAAATTTCACGCGCTGAAAGACTTTAATTGTTGGATTTTAGGAGCATGCACCCTATCTCAGGACATCGTAACCGAATCACAAACCACCATCCAAGTGCTATACATGCCACCCTCGTTTTCTTTAAAAAATACGTATCCCTTACCTTCAAGTGCAGCTACCGCGAAGATTTTCATTGATTATGTACTAAAACGCACTTAGGTAGTACAGTGCAGTCCACTTATAACGATATCGAGAAAACCTAAAAATATGATCGTTATAACCGGTGATCGTTATATCTGGACTGCCGCCAAAAAATCGTCGCCGGACGTACCTTTTGTAGCTCCAGGCTTCATTTTGCTATTTTCACCAATTAATAAATATTGTAGATAGTAGGATGTCAAAAACAAGACTTTATTTCTTACTCCGAAGAACGCATCACGGGTTCGCTGAGGAAGAGAGACTGACCGACGGCGGGGTGGGAGCAGTGGGAGGAAGAAAGCACAGCCAGAGGTACACAGCCGGAATGCCAACGAGGCCCCGCCCCCATGCCGCCGCGCCGCTTTGCTTTTCGCTTTTTTTATTTTCTCTCTCTTTCCCGCTTTCGTTCGGTAAGCTACGAGTAGCTTGCCGGCTTGCCGTTGTAGAAGGCGGGGAGCCGCGGAGCGCGGCGCTTTGCTTTTCGCATTTTTTTTTTTAAATTCTCTCAGCCTCTCCGCGGTCGACGCGCGGCGAGGCGCAAAACGTGACACAGCTGGCGCCATCTGTAGCGCGTCGCGCCAACTCGCGATGCTCTCCTCGGCTTTTTGAACGGCCGGGACGCGCTGCCGGCGCTGTGCTGCAGTGGCGGCAGATACGTACTCGCCTACGCTAACTTTTCGTCTTGTCTCGGCATAGTTAGTTTCAGAGGAACTTATCAATCTAAATGTTACGATTATTCTGAATGAAACATGCTGTCCACGGCAAACTTTTCATCGTTGTATCCGATATGCGGTGGATAACATATCGTTATATATGGTTTTTTTCCCCATAGCCCCAATGCATAAAATGAGACTGTTAAGTCGACCCATCGTTATAACCGATATATCGTTATATGTGGTATCGTTATAAGTGGACTGCACTGTATGCGATTGCTACAGAAATGCAACCAATGCTGATTAGGCCTAGGCTGCCATATGGTATGCTGTTGCGGGAAGTTTGTCCAAGATATGAAGATTGGGCGCCAAAAATATTGCACTGAAGCACGAAACCAAGAACACGGTGCGTGATGCGAAGCTTGCGTTCGCAACTGGGAAATCAACAATGACGAAAACCCGCCCAGCTTATGTAAGACCACATACTGGCAGCAAAAGCGAAAGCTTTCATGATAAAGCCGTAAATGAGAGAAAGGTAAATTAAAGGCAGGGAGATTAATCAGAGGAAGACTTCCCTGTGCTTGGAAAGAGGAAAAAGGGGTGTAAAAGAGTGAAGGAGAAGAAGAGTGTGGGTGACTGTGGTGAAAGCTTTCAAGCTCACTGAACAGGTAGCTAATGCGATATCTGCAATAACAATGATGATTAAGGTAACTCTTAAGCGGAGTCTAATCTAGCCTAGTTGAGCGTGGTATCAATAAATTTGGGCGTAAGTAAGTAAGTTCAGCTTATGTTTCGACCTTTATTCGCATCGACACGGTCATGTCCGCAACATTGCGGCAAGCAGTATTGTGTCGAGTTGGTGCGCGTCGGATGCACGCATACTTTTGTGGCCACCCATGATCGTGTCGACTCGATTTCATTCCTGCTCATAGTGGTTGCAGCAGAGTGTGGTTACGCTTGAACTATTTTTATTTTATTTATTTATTGGTACTGCAACCTCTTCAGGACTTTTAGCACAGTGGGATACTATGCATGAACGAAAATACATAATAAGATTTATGTACAGGAAGATTGCAGTAAAAATAATAACAATGATAATAATAATACAGTCGAACACGAATATATAGAACTCGAAGGGAATCGCAAATTAGT